AATAATAATAACAATATTAAACGTAACAACATTAGATAACGACAACCACGCATGAAATGAATAGCAAAAACATTAGCAGTATGAATTCCTAAAGTTCTAAGTATTTGAACCTAGCGAACCCGACCATTGGCTAGCTTCAATGTTGTTGTCGTCCAACTCTCTCTCTTGGTTTCGGCGTGGTGGGAGTGACGCCGGGCTCGTTATTTCCCTAGATCGATTATATTATTGTAGATCAACTTTGGAGAACTTTGTCGAGCCCAGCACAAATTACCCGTTGAAATTTCATCAGCTGCTCAGTTACGTTTTTTATGAAATTTACCAGCTCACGCATTATTTCTATTTGCGCAGTTGCTTGCCTCGTTCAAGCGTCGAAACACTTAGTTTAGTAGTAAAATTATATTGTGAATTATAGTCATGATTTATTCACAACATAGCACCTGTATCCGCTTCGCATCCAAATTTCTTAATTGCGCCATAGAAACGTTATGTGAATTTGGGATTGCGACTTCGTCGTCTGAAGAAAATCCGCCAACTTCATCATCGACTGCCTGAATATGGGTATACTCAGCAAAAGGGGTGCATCGGTGGCCGCAGTGGGAAATCACCTGCATATGGAAATCATTTCCTTTACCTCCCTCAATTCCTTCAAACTCCTGTTCGTTATGTTGCTCCTTCTGGTTACTTGCGCTGGCCTGAATAGGAGAAATAACTACAATCATTGATGAACTACGGCGCACTTTTGCTAGAAAAAGCGTATCTCCGTTTTTTATTCCTTTGAAGGCGACTTTGTCTTTGAAGTAATTATACATCTTGACGTCTTGTTCGTTGAACGTTCTCAAAAAATTAGCTACTTTACCTAGAAAATAACCACTCCCGTTTGGATTCTGTTTCTGCAATTTATCAGCTCGAAAATCAAGTTGTCAGGATGACAACCTATTTTACTACCTTCTTTCTTCCATGTCACCTAATACACGCTTCTTTCTGTTATTGAAATGACACTAGATTTGATAAGGATTGAGAAACACTGTAAACCTCTTGTAGATCCCGTTTGAAATCTTCTCCCAAGCCTCCTTACGAATTCCGTTTGACTGCATGAGGCGCATGCACGACCCTTCTATAAGTATATTCTCATTACTCAGCACAGACTGCACTATATAATCGAAATTTCACGAGATGGGTGAAGTTCTCTTCATCACTAAAAGTAAAAATTCAAGCAACTCTGACCCTGACCCTAGACTCTTGACAGCAATACCTTCCGCAGTATACGAAAGATTGAAAGGAAAGACACTGCTGTACACGATGTTTATATACATGCAAAGTGGTGAACAAATGA